TTATAATTTTAGTACAATTTTTCACGTAGATCACATACATGGCATTCACTTTTTATTTCATTATCACATTCCATAGAAAAATGAAAATTCACAAATGCAACTTCTCCAACAGTGTTTCCTCCGAGCTTGGGAGAAGAAAGTATTTTTCGGAGCATTTTTTACGCTAAAAGCGCTGATGAATTCCGTTTCTCTTGAAATAACATCATTTTTATGCAAATTCCAGAACAAAATTTTAAAATTTCTGGAGAAGTGTGTAAACGGTGCTTGCACGTATAACAAAGTGTGACATGTAGGACAAAGTGTTTAATTGCATTGCAGTTTTACATAATCTTCAGTGTTCCTTAGTGACGATAAACATCATATAATTATTTATTTTGTAACGTTGAAGTGAGCGCTTTAGCTATGGAAGCGGTTTGACTTATTGCGCTGCAGTTCCTAGCACGGGAAAGCTCGCTTTACATTCACTTCGCCAGAAAATGAATAAGTCCACACCATAAATTTGCCCCATCGATGTGGTGTTCAATTGGCGGCCAATAAGAAAAATTTGTCGATGCTCGATTGTAGTGTATATATTAAATCATTTTCAATGCTGTCTTCATTGAATTAAACATAAATAAATGTGTAATATGAAAATCAGAATCGAAGATATTGATCGGTTCGGTAAGTGCCTTATCAATCCGACATTTACTGGATGGTTACTGTGGAGATGAAGCGAAGAAGAGAGCCGTTATGGAACACTCGAATTTGGGCAATAGGAAACGAGTGAGGTGGGTGATTGTTGAATAAAGTTTGCTGATTATGAAGCAAACAAAACGACTCGACAAGAGGAAATTGAACATAAAAGTTGCAGATCAGCGTCGTTCTGTGCAGATGACGAGCACTTGAATACGAGCAATATCAACTACGCGTTATCCTTGGACGCCGATGATAGTTTTGATGCGCATCCTCATAACTATTACTACTACTATACGCATGCAAACACATCAGCAACTAACAGTAATCAATCGTCGTTCAACCACTCCTTGTCGTCACCTTCTCTTCTCGTCAACACCCAACGCAATTATCGTAATCGTAACAATACATCACCACCCCATCATACTACTTTCACCGGTCATTCTTATTCGTTTATATCTCCATTAAGGTCAGATCGGTCCCCCCCCCCCTCTC